GAAGACATAATTTCTGTAAAATACAATGCCTTCAGCTGCACCATGATTTAGTTTACTTGCTCCCAGGTGGGTAAATGGGTGACTTTGAAAATTAGTTGCCGACACCATTGTTGAGGATCTGAATGCACCAGTAGTAGTGCTTTTAATCCATTGTTCCCTTGACTCGCAATGACTCCAACTTGATTATTTTTTGAACAAACGAAGAAAGTACCAAATGCATCTACCTTTTCTAGCCATTTTTCCGTATAGAGGTTCACGCTGGTTTTAGTGAAACGCTCTGTCTTTGTATTATAACATTCCGGGAAAAAATGCATTTTGATGTAAGTTAATGAAAACGTGATAAAGTATAATTAGTTAACAAAAAATATGTATTTTTTAAATTACATTGTTTCTGATCTTTGAGGCTCAGTGATAAAAAATTTGCTCATAAGAGGGCAAAGGTCAGAAGAAAGGACGTCTGTTAAAAAAATAACAAACATGTAAATGCACTAGAACAGAAAAGTACCACCAAGATCTGTATTCATAGCTGATTCTTACGAAGATGATGGTGGAGGAGACACAAACGGAAATCACCTTCTTGTAAAAATCGCCACTGTGGTGATTCGCATCATTTCATTCATCTAAAAGCCACTAAAACAAGGTCGACGATCGTGAAGAATAGCGTCAAACATATAGTGTAGATAATCATCAGCCATTTGCCAGCGAAAATTCAAATATAGAACATTTTGTTTGGTTTTTCAAGACTTTTTCAATGATGAAAACACCACGTTCTGAACTTGTGCAAAATTCATATTTATCACATAATTTACTGCTTTAAAAAAATAGTGATTTAAAAAATATTAATCATTAGCAGAAATTGTCGATTCAGATTTGGAAGACTTCGGTTGGTCTGCCAATCCTGGGCAAATATTGACGCCGAGCCCCCAGTACTTCACTTCACCAGTCCTGTAACAGCTACAGTATTTCTTCGCCTGGCCGAGATTCTGCGAAATCAAAACCTTTTTAAATTTATGTAAAAATTTAATGTATTTTTGGTCCACACCCAATGCCCAAAATAACAACCTGATTTTAGGGTGCCTGCGCTGATGCCAGGTCTATAGCACGACTTTCTTCAATTGTTAGTCTTAATGCTTCACTAACCTGATGTGAATGTTGATCAAATTAATTCAAAATTGTGCATAAATGCAAGTTGCAGCAGCCACATGGTTAGATATTTTACAATCTTTTTCGGAAATTCTGCAGAGGATTGTAAAGAACTCTGGAAATGTTTTTTTTTTTTTAGTGGAAAGCGATAGAATTATTGATGAAACTAATGGGTTTTTCGGGTTTTTAGGCCGTCGTTCGGTAGAATTTCTTCCTGACGTTTCGCAAGCACGACTGGTTTACATCTTCAGAAGTGGTTTGCGCATTCTGTTGGGTCTTGCTATCCTCCGGTGTACTGGATTCTCTTTCCTGTCCTGAGCTGTTGCGTTGATGAGCTGACAACGTCGCCGGTTAATTTAAGGGAATCAAATGGTAACAAAAGGTATTTGTTGGACCCATATCAGAAAATGTGCCACTATAATATTGCGCTTCAAGTTGTCCGTCAGATAACGGGGTCTGGCAGTACCCGCTCCTAAATTGCAATAATGTTTTTTTCTGGGAATCCTCTGGGTGTTCGAACTTCACGTATAGTTTTGCCTTTTCTTTCCATATCCTCCATATACCTATAATTCGCAGGATGTCAGTTACAGGTAGTCATTCTTCCATATTATCAAAAGGATTTTATCACAGTATTTGTGACTAAATGGACAGGTGGCTTCCTGAGCGTACATTATCGTCTCATTTAGGGCGGTGTGAAATCTTCCTTTTCTTCAGTTTCAGTTTTATTGTGTTTGACCGACAACTTTCCCTATTTTTTTTAAAAGTCATTTTATAGTTGACTATCTGGCTCCAAAAAAAGTTGATGTCGATTTTTCCCGTTCTATCTTAACTCAATGAAACGACTGAAATAAAATACTGGAGAAGGAGATAAACTGGTATAAAAAAGCTTTTTCACTCCAGGGTGATTTAGAATTTGCCTCAGTTTTCAGGATGTTTAGGAATGGATGACAATGTTTAAATGAAGATCACTGTGCAAAGAAAACACAATTTAGATATGGCAACTGTGCAGCTTTCGTACCTGGAATGAAGCACCCTTTCGAAGTACCGCCCTATCTATGGTACCGCCTATCATGCGAATATCTATACCGCAGTTGGGAAAGCAACTTGATGGGATTTAAAATCTTAATTTTAAATTAGATTTAATGATTTTCTTAAATAAGTTACATAATTAATTGGTGACCTAATGAAAATTCAATTGATGATTATTTAGCAGACAATTAAAATTTAGGAGTCTTATAGACAACAATTAAATTTGAGCTTTTTTCCAATAAACCCCTAGGATGCCGCCTTCAAGGCCTATTAGAGAAACGTCGCAGACATAATTTTTTTTAACGTTGTAAACTTCCAAGGAGTTCAGTACCTTTCGGTTTAGAAACTCTAGTTTTGTTTCAAAAAAATTAAATTTTTTTCCAATATCTCATATTGCTTCTCTTGATTGTTAGATTAATTTGAATATTAAACTTTTAATATGTGAAATTAAAATTGCTTTATTGAAGCACTAACTGCCTCGAGCCCACTTTAGTACTGCCAATGCGGCCAAGACCCGACCATTGCACCACATAATAAGTAATCGATGGTTCTTTTTCGAAAGGTACCGTGAAACAAAAGTGGTTTCGACTTTACACTGACCTTGGATACTGGGTGCATTAAATGTGCGGCAAAGAAAAAGAAGAAAAAAGGAAGAAAAGTGAGCAAAAAAACCACACCGGCATTGCTGAACGTCTGGAGCATATATAGGTCGGTTTGGTTATATAAGTGTGTTCGTGTTGTAGTAGCAGTTGCCATATTTTGCCAATATTGCACTTACATGATCCCATTTTTACGGAAACGCTTCAAGGGTTGTTTAATTGAAAAAGTTGGTCTGTTGATGTACGCTTTATCTAAGCATTTATTTGGTTTGTGTTAAATTAATTTTTTTAATTTGCAAATAAGCTTCATGTTGACGCGCTTAACTGGTTTTGTATTATTTGCTTTATTTTATTTATGTAGTTGGCTTAATGGCTCAACCAACGAGTGTAGGGTATGGTTCTTTCAAAGAGTTTAAGAGGATTTAGAATGGTTTATTACCGCCGAAATTCTGAATTAGGGGGTAGATTAACTGAGGCCACAGTCGGTTAGAAATAGCCGCAGTGTAAGAAGGGAAAATCGCATTAGAGCTGAAGAACCACAGAATGGTTAAATATACATATTTTTAATTGTCTAGGTTTTCAACAGTCTGCCAAATTGCAAGGGTTTTTAAGGATTCAAAAATGTGTTTGAGCAATTGGAGGGTCTAGAGAAGCCCTGTTCCTGTTATTAAGATCGGTACTCCACAGTTTACCTACTTTGGCGGTGTTCTACACCTGCAAAGACTTTGACAAATTTGTGCGAATTTTGGATGATTTGAAAAGTGGTAATTATTCGATTTTTCGATTCGAAGTCGCATTTAACGTGGATAAAAATTTCACAGATACAATTAATACAATTTAAAAAATCCTCTCGTTTTCATTGGCAAAAAGAACAACTGTTGAACAACTAAACACCTGAAATTATGTGTAGCCTTCGGAACCCTTTATTTACAGGGTATTTTGATGAAAGAAAAACTGCTGATTATATGGCAACAGAGCAGTTATGGCCTCAAATTTCAACTGCCTCGAAGTAAAACAACCGCATCTGCCGCGCTGCAGCACGTGCCCCTAGCACAATATAGGTGAGCAACTCCTAACTTTGTGGGCCTTTGCGAAGGTGCCCCAAAGGAGTCATTTAATTATACATCGTATCCTTGAACTTACTCTTCCATTTCGAATAATTTCTTGGAAGTAGATGACTTTAATGGAACAGAAGTGGACTGCAAATCAAATTTGCTACCGGAAATATTAATGTTGCTGATTAAACAGCTGGGATTTTGCTAGAGGATTAGGGTCTGGATACTTCAAAGTCTTTTACAGAAGTTCGCCTAAGTAATAGTAATGGTTCCATTTTAATTTAAGAGCTGAATTTGACACTGCTCCCAGCAAAAGAGTAAAATGAAAAATTAGGTCATTAAAACCAGTTCCGGTCCTGTAAACGCGCGCTATTCCAAAGCCATATGTTAATCCAAACTAATTTATTATAACCACAGCTTTGAAGTTTTACCCTTTTCGATTTTCTAGGAAACATCTACATGTCGGTAATTTTAATCTAACATGAAACACTTATTAAAATCGTTTTTGTCTGGTGCAAACTCCTTTTGTGCTTGTTTCCACCTGCCTTTAATAAAATTCGAATTAATTGCGGGTTTCGGGTTCTCCTGGCGGCATCGCAACACCATACCGAAAAGATGGTTTAGTAATGTGTAAAACAATGGGCCATTAAATAACAAGAATTCGCTTTGTGTTATTTAGACGGTTTAGTTTAGCGTTGCAGAAGACCGATTTGATGTCATCAAAATAAGGATTTCACGTTGTTTCGGCTCTTTCATGTCCAGCTTAGTTAGAATTTGCATTTTTCATATTAAAAGTCGTTTTACGAGCCATTTAAGACAATTAGCAAACTTTCTCCTGCAGTCTCCTCCAGAGCATTTCACAATTAAATCGCAATTAAAATCACTAAAATTGCACGTACGTTTAATGTTAAATTGTACAAAAAAGTGCATACGAAGTTCAGAGTTTTAATAAACATGGAAATGGAATAATCTATCACCTCTCTAATCCTGTAACCCTGGGAGAGATTCATGTTTTATTAGTTACTGTCGGTAATGCATACGGAGTCAAATGTTCCTTAATTTTACCAGTAAAAGAAGACAGCAGTTAACATTAACAAAATCAAAGTGTAAAGCATCTACAAACCGCTTGTTTAGAATCTAGTGATTTATTTAATTCTCCATTCTATTGTTTCAGGAATCTTCTCCAACTTTGACGCTCATATCGTCAAAGGTAAGCAGGCCATGCGACCGCAGCGTTGTCCAATCAAGGTGTGTGTAAATGTGTGCTTTTCATTTGTTCTCTCACCACTTACAAAGCAAACAACCAATGAAACTACCGAACCAACACCGCGAATGCATTTGGGTTGGTGTATTTTATATACCTAATGCTGCTCTTTTCTATGTCCTTGTATATGCACCAGCTAGGTATATGTATAGTTTTTCGAGCACGTTTCCTTTTTGCTGTTGGCACGACTTGTCTGGGTTTTTTTCTCGGAAGTAAGTTTAAGGTGGTGAAACTCCAGCAGTTTTCCACCCCACAGGTCTTTTATGGAACTTTCGTAATTGAATGTGGCTTTAGTATCGTTGCAAATGACCAGAAGCATACTAACACTCATATGCAACTGTGCGCATTTTTGATTAGTTTCTTCTGATAAGTTGGGCGACTGAGGTGTTGGTGAAGCAAATTTAGCCGCGTTTTAAGTCAATTTGTGCCAAATTTGTCTGGATTAATCCCAATACTTTAAGAAGCGAGGCGATGAGTAGAAGTATTTAACTACTGTTATAACTTACTGAATTAGTGAGTGCCATATAGAGCAGGAGTTCGGAAGAAGATTGCAGCTGATGACCTTTCACAACAAAAAATGCAATTATTTTTAAGTTTCTCACTAAGCGATTGTTTTCGGCTTTAGTATTAAGTGTTCTTTGGATGATTTACGTTTGAACCCTAGGATCAATTGGTCATTTAAAGTGGTTAAATTTCAAGATGGTCTACATGCTGCATGGCTATCATCGAGGTTATAGGATCGATGTCCCAACCCTAATTTAGCGTCATTTTCAGGGGCGATCGAATAGAGAGCGAAATTTATGAACCAGCTTTCTACTATAGGTATAACTACCTATCTTAGCTTTTCCCCAGCATGATACATTTTTCCAATTTTTTTTGTAATCCCAAATACCTCTTCAGAGGAATGATCCATTTTGAATCTCTCTGTATAGACTGACTACTGGAATCCAGCCGAAGAATCTCACTTCACAAGTCAAATAAATATTTGATCATATTTCAACATGAAATGTGTTTTGTTCGGGTTTTTGCAGGAATGAAAGTGTCTGATTTGACTAAAACATTTCGAATTCTAATAGTTCAAGTAATTAAGCACGTAAATACAATACTTCCTGATAAAGTAATCAAGCTCAAGCCAGTTGCTGTCCAAAAAAAAATTCGCCATACCATCGGCGAGCTGTTTCTAAATAATAAACAATCAATGTTTGAGTAATTGGCAACTAAATATGCTCATAAATAATAACTGTAAAAAGGCCCATATTAAATAAAGCGGTTATTAGCATCATGGGATACTTTTTTTTCGGTGATAATAAGCCATAAAACACTGGCAGTTCATACCGCGCACATTTACTGTTCGTAGTTTCATTAGATGCTTTAATTAAAATTTTTATGGGTGATTAAAATTTCCGAAAACCAATTATATTCAATGCGGTTTGAAACTGAAGTTACCCGTGTAATAAATTTTTCGATGGTTCGTAATAAATAATGATTCTAATCGCCGATTGGAATTCGACAATAAACTTCGTCTTTTGGTAAGCATAGAGATCATGTATCAAGATGTCGGTATGATACATATTTATGGCTGATGTGATTGTTGATCACATGATCGGCAACATTTGGATTATTTAAGCAACCGCAGGAATAGTTGAGATATTTTTAAGTCGCTTTTGTTTGAGTCATCAAATTTAAACATATTGCATGCAGTTAACTTTTAAAAATTAGCTGCTCAACAAAATAAACTAAATAAAGCCAAATTTGACCGAACTTTGGAACGGGATAAATTCTGGTTGCTGTTTGGAGCGTTGTCCACATCAATTATTTTTCTCTTTATTCCTGTTTTTGGTCAAAAATTAAGTGTTTTAGATTAAATTGACGTCATGCAAACTTTGTAAACCGTCGGCGTACTGAAATTTTTTCTTGAAATCTACTAGGTATTTGGTTTTGTAATTATTCCTCTTTCATTCTTGAACATATTTTCAAAATTTAGAGCTCGTGTTAAAGCTAAAACTTTATAGTCGATTCAAATTCGACCCAAATCAGAACGGCCCCCCAAAATCTGGTATTTTCGAAGACTTTCAATTAAAGTCAAGTTTACTTTCAAACAATTCGTTTATTTATGCAACCCTGTATATATTTTTGCTTAAGTAGAATATGAAGTTTCAGTTTCAACATGAGCTTCAAATTTAGAAAATCGGTCTAGGAAGATACATCAATATCATCGCAACACCAGAAAGTTGATTACTTTTAGATCGCCTTGTAAATAAAAGGGATAGGCAAGACGTTAAAAGAAAAACGTTTCGAAATGTGAGGCTTGCCTTTATGCTCTCGGTGTTGAAATCCAAAAAAAACGCCGCTCAAATAATTTTTTTTTACTGTAGCACGTTCATTTAGATGCTTCTTTTTTGCAAGGATTTTTCGCATTAGCAAGATTTTTTGCCACTCAGGATTTTTCATTTTCCATCGAACTTTTCATTGAGGGAAATAGGAATCAATTAGTGTTTTTTATTCAGAAATTTTATTGCCAAGCTTGTAGCCTATCAGTTACCATATTTCGTTTTTAAAGTCGCATACCTATTCCTACTTGTGTAAGGCTTTTCAAACATTATTTTTTGTTTATCCTTATTTTGGGGTTAAAATTAAATGTTTTTGTTTTTTGAAGAAGCAAATTCAGTGTTGGAAAATTATATCTACAATAATTAAAATGCTCGTGAAACTTACTATAAAACTGAAAATTTTCATACGCAGTTTGTTAGTCCCTGAATATTCATATTATACAAAATAATTAAAAAATAATGATAATAAAATAATCAATGAGAGCAGGAATACTAATGATAACTGAGTGAAAACTTAACAATTCATCACTTTTTTATAACCAGCCATCAGACCACATAAGACAATTTCAATAAGCTGAGATCAATCTTAGACATTGTATGAAAATAAAATTAATTAAGGTCTTTTTGCGAACTACAATATCGAATGGGCAGTATTGCTGCAAATATATGCGGGTTTTTGCACATTCAAGGTTAGCCGGTACCGCATATAGCTAGTGCCCAATTTTACGATCGTCTGCAGTTACTTATTTAACATGTTTCTTGCAACAGTCACCCGAACACTATTTTCGGAACTGTTACCTGCACCAATAAGCGAATTATTGGGAATACTTACAGTGTAATTTTTAAGTATTTTTCGGGTTTTTAAATTGATTTTATAGGCCTTCGAACTAGCCATTTTTTTTTGTTGAAAGTCAAGCAAATATGGCTGGCGAAAGTGTTTTTCTAATCGCAAAAATAAAGAAATAATTCGTCTAAGAATGAGAAATTTATTGGTTATAATATTTTCTGCATGAGAGATTACTCAGTTTCTGAAATAGAATTGCATTGAAAAACGTGCCGCAGTAAAACAAAAATTTGCAAAATAAAAATCCTTCTTTCGCGCTAAAAATCTTTATAAAAAAGAGGCATGTGAGGAAGAAACAGCTATTTTCTGTAAGAAAAATCACTCAGCTTCTTAAATGGATTTAAGAAATAAAACAAAAATTAAAACATTCACAGTTTCAGGTTACTAAAAGTGCAAAATCTTAATTCGCCCTAAACACTCTCCAAAACAAAAGCGGTATTAAAAAAAAACACTTTATAATACTATTTTCCGTATGGGAACGTACTCAGCTTCTTAAATAGACTTACATAGAAAAATGTGCTTTAGCAAAATAAAAAATAAAACATTGACAAATTAAGGTTTCTAAAAGTAAAAATACGTCATTCTCCATAAAAACTTAACAAAAACTCATAATTTTATAAAGGAAACTCTATTAGTATTATTATTATTATTATTATGCTTTCATGCTGTGTTCATTTGCATTGAAAAAGTTCGTTAGTAAAACCAAAAGTAAAACATTTCAAACAAAAACAATTTCAAGTTATTTAAAATGAAAACCCATTATTGCTCCCGAACACACCCATAAAATTCAATGTTTGAGAAAGAAAAAAACTTTTTGTAACATAATTTTCCTAATATAGTTTAGTAATGGAAATTACTAAGCTTCATAAGGGGTAAAATAAAAAAATTTAAATTTCATATTATTAAAAGCTCATTCATCAGTTTCCCCAAAAACTTGAAAAATGAATGAAGAAAAAATTTAAAAATCTGCATTCACGAAGGAAAAACCCTTTCCTAGTAATGTTTTCTGCAAGAGAAATTACCAAGTTTGCAATGCATTGAAAATTGTACTAGAGTAGGTAACGCAAAACTGAAAATATTGACAATTAGAAGTTACTCAAAGTGAAATTCTATCATTCGCCCCAACAACATTAAAACATTCGGTATGTGAAAAAAGCCATTTGTAATAATTTTTACTGCTAGATATTTTATAATTTATTAAGTTTCTGAAACAGTTGTACATTGAAAAATGTGCTTGAGTATCACGAAACTTGAATCATTGACAAATTTATGTTACTAAAAGTGAAAATCCGTCATTCGCCCTAAAAACACTCAAAGAAACCCGGTATATGAAACAGAAAACAACTAATTGCAATCATATTTGTGGCGAGAAAAATTACCGAGCTTCTGAAACGGGTTTCCGTTTACTTTAGTAAAACGAGAAACAAAACATTGATAATTTCAAGTTATTCTGGCACTAGAAAAACGCATATCGAGAATCTCGGCTCCCATTTAAATTCTTCAACCGATTTCAAAACATATTTTTCTAATTCAAGAGTGTATTTTTAAATAGACACAAGGAATAATAAATTACTCTCCTTACGGCTGCACTACCCAAATCTAATTTTAAAACATCATTGTACGTTTAGTGAGCGATGTATTGAGTATTCGGTTATTTATACGTTTAATTATCTGGGTTATTATATACAATTGAATTATGTTAAATAAATGAGTTTATTGGAGTCTCTTTTTGAGCAGCTTATCAGCAATTCAATTTTAATTTTTAACTGAAG